TATACATACAATATATATACTATCTCCCAGATGAATTTTTAAAATTTTCTTTCCTTTTTCCATAAAAATAAAAGCATGTTCAAATTTTGATGGGACAATATAGAGTAATTTGAAAAAATAATCACCTTTGTAATAATGAGTTTCATTATCTACAAATGTTGTAGTGTATTTGAGTCTTTATGTAACCACATGGCTGTGACATTCATGTAAAATTTAGGTTTTTTTATTGTTTGTTAAACTAGACATAACAGTTGTAATGTTGCTGGCCTCTAGAAGGTAACACACACCTTATTATTTATTTCTTCCTGAATGGATCTCCTTTTCCCCTACTCCTTAAATTTTAACAGTTGAAATTAATGCAACTGTATCTTTATATGTTATCATGGGACATGTGTAGTAATTTCTGTATCTATGCTGGTATAGGTTAAATATTGGTATCTTCAGTAGCCAAGGTTTTTCCCAAAAGGAGAATAACAACTTACACTGTATCTTCCACTCACAAGAGTTCATTTGTTCCATATCTTCATCAGTGCTATTTGATTTTGTCTAGACTTTATAATACATTTCTCTTAATTTCTAAAGATGTTAAGATTTTTATGATTGTTGAAAACTTAGATATTTCATACACAAAACAACTTTTCAAGTCTCTTGCCTCCTTTGTTTTGTGATGGGGTGTGTGTCTTTTTTTGTTTTATTAAAAGTATTTGATCATACATGAAATGGTATCTCCTACTACCTCACTTCTATTTATACTCCTTAATAACTTCATTTAATGGTCTTTGTTTTCATGTAGTTACAATTTCTGAATTTTTACTTTTTAAATATTGTTTTGTGTTACTTTGAAAAATACTCCTTGTCCTGTTGAATGTTTTATAGGTTGTTCTTATATTGGTCTGTCTTCTACCTCAGAAAATTATTATATATGAAGAGCAAAAGCTACAATTGCATTTTTCTTTTTTTGCCACAGAGATACCCCATCATCTCAACAGCTTTCATTTGGGAAAGTTAATCGTTTTCCTACTTATTTGCAGGGCAGTACATGACATTCACAGTGTGTAACAGGCAGCTGTATTTTTAAGGGTATTATCTTTAGTTCTGCAGGATTCTTTACTTGTGTCATTGCCAGGTCTACACCTATTATGATAACGTTGTGACACAGCTGTGCTCTGCACTGTGAAACTCTGCTCCCTGTGGACTTCCAATGCAAGAGTGGTTACAGCGTGTCACCTTATGTCACCTTGGTATGTAGTGGGCTGTGCTAGGGTATAAGCATCCACCTGCTAGCAGGGTATAAGCACCTGCTGTGATGATGGCTCCTTTATAGAATCACCAGACTATGCATTTCTTAGGGGCATCTCCTTGTGAAGTGAGCCATGACCATACTTATATAATGCCCTTATATAGCATATAATTGCCATGTGATTTTCCTTATTGATGTTTCATTTCATTACTGTTGTAGAAGAACCAGCCTTTTTTTTTTGGTACTGGGGATTGAACTCGGGTCCTTGCACTTGCAAAGAACCAACATTTGACATTGCTGATGTTCTCTGTGGTATGTTCATGGTCACTGTTTTTTATTTTTTTTTTAAATTTTGATCTTAGGATTTTCTTTTGTGTACTCATTTTTATAAAATTTGCCTTTTCTAACCTTTCAAGACTTGGTTAACCAATGAATACTTAGTTTTAAAAATTCCTACTTAAGACAATGTTTCTTTTTTTAACCTCAGCTTTACATGATTTTATTCATTTTACAGGTTTGAGGTGTAATTAACAAATATCAATCTGCATATAGTTAAAGTAACATATTTTATCTTTTCACCTATATCTACATTACTTAACTGCACAACACAGGAAACAGTTAACATATCCACTAACCGAAGTGTTTTCTAGTGCCTTTGCATGACACTTTAGTAAATTTGATTTTATTGATCAAAAGAAAAACAGGGTAATAAATATAATAACAATTATATAGGTCTATGAAATATGACAAAGGGAACATACCCACAGTAGCTCCCTAGGTTAAGAAATGCAATATTATCAAATCCAAAAGAACATCTTCATGCCTTCTTATTGTCAGTGTCCCCTCTGTCCTCCTTAGTGATAACTACTTTTTTTGTGTGTGTCAGGGATTGAACTTGGGTCCTTGTGATTGCAAGGCAGGCAGCAGAACCACTGAGCTAAATTCCCAGCCCCAGCTACTACTTTTCTAATTCAGCTGTTATTCTTAGAGAATTCTTATATAATTTTTAGTGTATTTCTATTCTGCATAGTGGTAGAATTAAAGGTTCACAGGATATGCATGGATAGATTCTACCAAACCATTTTCCAAACCGTATCTGCCAGTTTACACCAGCACCAATCATACCCCTCCAATCACTTTATATCTTTTTTTGGGGTATACTGGGGATCAAACTCAGGACCTTGTGCTTGTTAGTTGTTTTAATTTTAAAAAAATTTGTTGTTTTTACCT